TAACATATATGACGTAATGGCATAATACAATTGAATCTTACCACACACCCAATTATGGTGAATAAGAGCTCAAACCGACTTTACGCATACATCTTGATATGTGTTATGGTTCCTTTTTTTTTTTCTTCAGATTATGATAATACATGGAAAGTAGCGTGAACGAGTTCTGTGGTATCCCATACAAAAGTTTCAATTCCTTGCACTTCACATACTAATCTTGGGCATAAGAAATGTCTATTTCGAATTGAAGATTCATATATCGAGTAATACTGTTCCCATGGAATATCCTCTTACCGTTATTAGCCATACATCCTTTAATAAATAGTCCAACAATTTTTTGTTCCCTTAACTAAGTCTAACATTAGTAGGTAGTAATTGTGTTTTTCTTTAACAATTACCAAGTTTAATGATATAATATAGAACGATTTTATTTTATTATTATTTTTTTAATAAAACACAAACATGGTTATCTTCCTAAATGATTTTCACTAAAATATTTCTTGGCATTATTAGTTTCTAGCAAGGTTGTAGAAAACGTTAGACGTTAGCTAGTCGGTGGACTGAGGTCTAAGGATTAATCGGCTAGGCGGGGATTAATCGGAGACCATTAATTATTAAGAAAATTATTCAAAAATTTATAAATCTAACTTTAATCATAAGAATATAAATAAATAAGCATAAAAGTTTAATAATAAGTTTAACAAGAACAACAATTTATCATCCAATTAATAAGAAAAGTTATTTAAATTTTAATATATCTTAAGAAAAGAAGTAAATTTGGCTATTTGTACATTTGAAAAGATAGAAATTTTGAAAATTTTGGAGAAAAACTTTAAAATTTATTTAAAAAAAAATTATATATTAGTTGAACATTGAAATACTATGAACCTTTGAAATTTTAAAAATTTTGGTTTAATATTTAAAAATTTGAAAATTTTAAATTTTGGCCGATTAGGCCGCCTAGGACCGATTAGAACCGTCTAGCTCCGATTTTGACCCCCTTTGACCAAAACCGATTAGGCCGACCGATTAGCCTTAATCATATTCAGTTGAAGACCGCCTAGCGATTAATCCCCGATTAATTGGCCGCCTAAACCGATTTTTACAACACTGGTTTCTAGTATCGATAATTGATATTCCAGAACATTATCATCATTTTACCAAAAACTGTAATGTCATTAACTTCTAAAAGCTATTAATGATTCAATATAAACTTATAATTGAACAAAAAATGTCATGTAATTTTTATAATTAACTCCATGCAACTATTTTTTAATTTTCTTTTGTGCATTTGCGAATCATTAATTTAATAAAAGTAAAAAAGTAAATTGGTTTTATTAGAATAACCTAATTAATGTCTTTATAAGCATCTGCCAAATTTCCTAAAAACAAATAACATAGCGAGAAGAGATTATTTTAATCCACTCCGTTCGTTCCAAATCCCACACAAGCAGCGGAAATTCTCACGAAACACAATTTTAGAAACGAAGGTGATGAAGAAGAGAACGACGAGCAGCTGCAGGAAGAAGATGGTGAGAGCAATGGACAAGTCGAACGGAGAGTCGGAGGTGAAGGATGGTTTCGGCTATCCATCAGATAGATCTATATGGACCAATCATTACCAACTCGGACCTTTTATAAATTAGTTTTAATTCGAAATGGTTTGGTAACCATTTCTCAAACTACATCAACTTAACTTTTCGGGCCACAAAATTGTGGTGTGTTAGTGTGTATTGATTTAATCAGAATCTATGCCCTCATCAATAACTAGAATGGAATCAGTGCGCCATTGGCGCTGTGTTGTTGGAATTAAATTGCATGACGGATAAACTTACAAGGAAAGAAAAAAGGCTCCTTTCACTTAATTTCTTGATGGGCTGGGAGACTGACAAACTTACAAGGTCTTGATGGTATATGGAAGGATTGATGGTATACGACCTCCAATTTGATTATTGTTCAAATCTCTGCATGCAAAAATCGTTATAAAAATCACTTAAAATATAATAAACTCATTGTTTATGTGAACAGAATACACAATGATAAGTAAAGGGACAGAGTCACATGTATCTGGTCAATCACTGTTGTGAGGCTGCAATCCTGCAAATTACAGAATTATACAATGGAGAGAGATAATAATCAAATCGAATATATATGATAGAAAATTGATATTTCCTAGTTAAGGAAATACAATATTTATTAAAAGATTTTTTTTATAAGTAATTTAACAATATAACTAACTTTTACTACTTACTTTGACCACCCATTGACCCCATCGAGGCAAACCAAAATAATCAGACCATCAGATGCAGAGAGTATGCTATGCTATTGAGCTTTTACCGTTTTATTGATTTAACCACTTAACTATTTCTTGTAGTCATTAAACCATTATACTTTTATGACTGTTTACATACAAAAACCATTTAGTGCAAGAAATCAAAAAGCACAACCAACTTTCACCATAAATGCACAATGTACTTTTACCATTTTATCAATTTAGCCACTGAACTATTTTTTTTTATATATAGATTTAGGCTTTTAACCCGTAAACTATTTTTACAAAAATCATAACACATAATAGGTCATTGGCTAAATCGATATATGGTAATGCTACATTGTGCTTTTATGTATTTTGCACTTTTCCCAAACCAAGTAACTTGGAAAATCTTTTCCAAATTTTTTTTTAAAAGAACCCCAAAATGATTCATTTTCACATAAATAGGTACCTAATAAGAGAGATTAGATGTACAAAAGAATATATATATATATATATATATATATATATATATATATATATATATATATATATATATATATAATATGTTTTCTTGCCTTGAGCAGCAGCTTTTGCAGCAATAGGTAACAACTGGTGTGTAAGTTGCTTCATTGCTTTACTTCCAGGGGCAATAGAAAGAGCAACCTCCTTCAAAAGGGGATAGACTGCTTCAAATCTCTTAGTTGCCTGTTACAAAATTATACAAAATCCATTTATGTTATTTTTAATTCTACTGATTTATGTAGTAAAATAATCGAAAAATATAAAGATAAAAGGGTTATATTCAAGAAACATAAACATAGCTTATTTGATTTCTTTATTATAGCATCTCACTTTCTTTTCTTCTTACAACTTTGTATGGATTTTTCAAATTATATTCAAGAAACACTTTTCACTGTTATAAATGAATGTATTTTTCAAATTATAATGTGTTCACAAATCACAAGGAAACAATTGAAAGTGTAATGCTATACTTGGATAGATGTAAATCATGTAATAGAAAGAAGTCAAAGTACAATGCCTTAATAAGAAAAACAACTGAAAATATAATGTTGTAACAAAATGAAATGAAAGTAGGATTCTATAAAATGATTAAAAGTACCTTGACACGAGATGTAGGAGAAGGGAAGGTAGCTCCCATGACAAGCTCAAGAGCTGAAGCTGGGACCACACGCTCCCCCTTTCTCAGAGCTCCATTAACTAAAACTGTACGAGCTTTTCGAGAAGATACAATCCTATAAATAAAATTATTGTTTGTACTTTGTATAAATGATGTTTATAAAATATTTGAGAGAATAAAAGCACACTTATATGGAAATACAATATTATGAATGTTTCTTACCTCTCAACCAACTGCAAAATAAGGTCTCTGGATTGAGGATTTCCACCTGATTTACTATTGACTATTGGCAAGAGCAAATGGGCGCACATGAAAAGCCTCACCACCAGGTCCCCTTGACAAGCGTATACAAAATCCAATCTTATTGAAGTTGATTGTTATCCTCCAGAAGATAGTAAATGTCTTGATTAATTGATTAGTTACCTGTGTGATAGTCCACAATAGGACTGGAAGCTTATCTTGACCTTGATATTTAAGAAGCCGATTTAACTAAAGACTAGGGAAAAGATTTGATAAAAATAATGTTAAAAGAAAAGAGAGAACTAATACATAGTTTTCAAGTTCCTAAATCTTCTTTTGTAGCTCAGACCTCAATCTATGATTCTCTTCCACCTGTCAATAGAGAAATTATACAGAAAATCAATATTAGATGTATTATAATTAATTAATTAAATCACACACACCAAACTTCAAACGTACCCTTTCTCCCTTGACCAAAACTTATGGCGGTAGTCGCCGGCGGTAGGTCCTGAAGAAACAATGTTAGATGAGGTAGAAACCGGTAGTGAGTAACGCCAGTTCAATTTGTCCGAATATTTCTTTCTGGTGCATCAGAGGGTTTCTCTTGAAAAACCCTAAATCCCACCCTCTTTGGTGAGAGACGGAAAAAAAAACAAAAAAAACAAACCTGGTATATTTCTTGTGCGAAGTAAGGTTTATGGTCAGCAGCAGTGGATGGATGTAAGGGGTTCAAGAGTTGAACAGTAATACGCATCGAGCTCATATAACTGTTGGGTTGAAGGGCCGGCTCCAAGCGTTAATCGAATGGAGACAACGAACACTGTGGTTGGTCCTAGGGTTCTTCAGCTAAAGAAGGAGGAGACCGACTGTGGATTGACGGTGAGATGAAGAAATGGAGGATTGGAACGATAAGCATAACCCGTAAATATGTTGTGCGAATAAGAAGGATTTAGAGACCGGTTAGAACGACCATCTGAGTGGAGGCAGAAAGATGAGGCGGTGGGATCCAAAAAGCGGAAGGCGAAGGAAGAGCGAAGAAGAAAGAAGTGAGAATAAAAGGCGGAGGAGTCAAAGGCAGTGGAGAAGAATTGATAAAGAGGGTAGAAGAGTTGGGGTTTTTTTGTAAGAAGGAAAACTTCAGTGGCAGAAGAAGAAAGAGAAATAAGTATACTGTTCACCAACTTTTTAAGTTATATATAATTGAAACCTTTCTCCATATACCTTCACATATCTTTGTGAATCTGCTATAAATAATAATTGAAATTTCACATATCTTTGTGAATCTGCTATAAATAATAATTGAAATTATTCTCTCTGCACACCCATTTTTCCCATTTCTACTAATCTTCTCTGCCCTTTTCATAAACAATGGCTGAAATCGTTGTTTCTGCCTTCTTCTCAGCGGTCTTTGAAAAGCTTGCATCTGAAGCCTTGAAGAAGATCGCTCGCTCCAAGGGAGTTGATTCTGAGCTCAAGAAATTGAAGAGGTCATTAGAGCAGATCCAAGATCTGCTTAATGATGCTGCCCAAAAGGAAATAGCTAACAAAGCTGTTAAAAGATGGATGAATGGTCTCCAACATCTGGCTTACGACATTGACGACCTACTTGATGATTTGTCAACAGAAGCTATGCGTCGTGAGTTAACCGAGGAACCTGGAGCCACCACCAGCATGGTAAGAAAGCTAATCCCCGCTTGTTGCACAAATTTCTCACTAAGTACTAAGATTCATAGCAAATTAGATACTATTACCACCGAGTTACAAAAGCTGGTAGAGGAAAGAGAAAATTTTGGTTTAAGTGTGAAAGATGAAAGCCCAAAACATATGAATAGAAGATTAGAGACCTCTTTGGTAGATGCATCTAGGATTATTGGACGCGAAGATGAAAAGGATGCGTTGCTCCACAAGCTACTGGGGGATGAAGCATGTGATAAAAACTTTAGCATCGTGCCGATAGTTGGTATGGGTGGGGTGGGTAAGACCACTCAAGCTAGACTTTTGTACGACGAAATGCAAGGGAAGGATCACTTCGAACTCAAGGCGTGGGTTTGTGTATCTGATGAATTTGATATCTTCACTATAAGCAAAGTTATCTTTCAATCGATAGGTGGGGGAAACGAAGAATTTAAGGACTTAAATCTTCTTCAATTAGCTTTAAGAGAGAAGATCTCAAAGAAAAGTTTTCTTCTTGTTCTTGATGATGTGTGGAGTGAAAGCTATACTGATTGGGAAATTCTAGAACGCCCATTTCTTGCAGTGGCACCGGGAAGTAAGATTATCATGACGACCCGGAAGCTATCGTTGCTAACCCAACTGGGTTACAGTCAACCTTACAGTCTGTCAGTTTTGTCACATGAAAATGCTGTATCTTTATTCTGTCAACATGCATTTGGTGAAAATAACTTCGATTCACATCCAACACTCAAACCACATGGTGAAGGTATTGTTGAAAAATGTGATGGCTTGCCATTGGCTTTGATAGCGCTTGGGAGGTTATTGAGGACAAAAACCGACGAGGAAGAATGGAAGGAGCTGCTTAATAGTGAGATATGGAGCTTAGGGAAGAGAGATGAGATTACTCCAGCTCTTAGGCTAAGCTACCATGATCTTTCTGCCAATTTGAAGCTGTTGTTTGCATACTGCTCCTTGTTCCCTAAGGACTACATGTTTGACATGGAGGAGTTGATTCTATTATGGATGGCGGAAGGGTTTTTGCATCAATCAAGTACTACAGGGAAATCAATGGAACGTATGGGTGTTGAATGTTTTGAAGACTTGTTGTCAAGGTCATTTTTCCAACAGGCACCTAATGATAAATCGTTATTTGTTATGCATGACCTGATGAATGACTTGGCCATGTCTGTTGCTGGAGAATTCTTTTCAAGGTTAGACATTGAAATGAAGAAGGAAATTGGGAAGGATGATCTGGGTAAAGTACCGGCATATGTCATTTGTTTGTGAGAAGTATATGGTTTACACAAAGTTCAAGGCATTGAAAGGAGCTAATAGTTTGAGAACATTCTTAGCAGTTGCTTTTGAGCAGAACAGTTGGCAAAAATTCCACTTATCGAATAAAGTTCTGGCCGACTTACTTCCTGAGTTACCATTATTAAGGGTCTTAAGTTTGAGTCAACTTAGCATAAGTGAGGTACCAGAGTTCATTAGCATTCTGAAGCACTTGCGGTATCTTAATTTTTCTAGAACTAAAATTACACATTTGCCTGATAATGTCTGTGACCTTTATAATTTACAAACGTTGATAATTTCTGGTTGTGAGAGTTTGGAAAAGTTGCCTGAGAGCTTCACAAAGCTTAAGAATTTGCGGCATTTTGACATGAGGGATACTCCACTTTTGAAGAAGATGCCATTAGGGATTGGTGAGTTGAAAAGCCTACGGACTCTCTCTAAGATCGTTATTGGAGGAGACAATGGCTTTTCAATAACCAGGCTTAAAGATCTAAAGGATCTCCAAGGTAAAATTTCCTTTCAAGGGCTTGACAAAGTGCAAAGCCGAATGCAGGCACAGGAAGTGAAGTTATCCCACAGGAGGCTAAGTGAGTTAGAGGTGGAATGGAGTGATGTATTTGATAATTCTCGAAAGGAAGTAGTTGAACAGGAGGTCCTGAATGCGATGAAGCCTCATAACGAAAATCTAAAAAGCCTCGGAATTGTGTCATATGGAGGTACAGAGTTTCCGAGTTGGGTTGGGGATCCCTCATTTCATCGGTTGGCTAAAGTGACATTAAAAGGTTGTAAAAAGTGTACATCTCTACCGTTACTTGGGCAGTTACCATTACTTAAGAAGTTGTTTATTGAAGGCATGGATGAGGTGAAAGTTGTGGGTTTGGAGTTTCTTAGGACTACTGGTCTTGCATTCCCATCACTTGAGATTCTACGTTTTGAAGATATGAAAGGGTGGGAGGCATGGTCAACCAATAATAATGGGGTACTTGTCGATACAACATTTCCATGCCTTCAAGAGCTTGATATTAAAGGTTGTCCTAATTTGGTTAAAGTCTCAGTTGAAGCACTGCCTTCACTCAGGTCTCTGATAATAAGTGGGTGTGACCATGAAGTGTTAAGAAGTCTGGTCTGTGTAGCTTCACCAGTCACGAAGTTGGAGATAAGTTGTATTTCAGGACTTAATGATCAGGTGTGGGGAGGTGTTATAGAGTATCTTTGGGCGGTTGAAGAAATAAGTATCTTTGAGTGTAACGAAATAAGATACTTGTGGGAATCAGAAGCAGAGGCAAGTAAGGTTCTTGTGAATTGAAGGAGGTTGTTTGTAAATAATTGTTCAAATTTGGTGAGTTTAGGAGAGAAAGAAGACGAGAATTGTGGGAGCAACCTAACATCTCTTACAAGCTTGTACATAAAGAATTGTAACAGCTTGGAGCATTGCAGCTGTCCAAATAGCCTTAAGTCACTTTCTGTAGAATATTCAAATTAATATTAATCTAATATACAGCTGGTATATTAATGTAGGATATAAATTAGGATAATTGAATTAGAGTGATTTGATTTGATTTAGTTTTCCTTGTTTAGATTGATCTAGTTTCCGTGTTTAGGCTTATCATTGTATATATATTGAGGTGATTATCTCATAGTAAAATATAAGAAACAATTCTCTGTAAAACCACATGGTATCAGAGCTGTAAAACTACCAATTTTACTAAACCCTAAACCCTTTATCCTCACGATGGAGACAGGAAATAAAGGTCCTGCAGCCAACCCAAAAAAATCTTCTTCTGTTGTTAGTGACACAGCTCCTCTGTCTATGCACATCACAGTGCATAAATTAAATGGCAACAATTATTTGGAGTGGTCTCAGTCGGTAAAGCTTGCTGTAGATGGAAGAGGAAAGTTAGGGTATCTCACTGGAGATGTGAAGGCGCTAAAGGAAGGAGAGGAAGGGTACAATATCTGGAGATCTGAAAATTCCCTTGTCACAGCATGGCTTCTCAATTCCATGGACAGCTCAATTGCCAAGCCACATATGTTCATGAAGACAGCCAAAGAGGTGTGGGATTCTGTTAAAGAGACCTACTCAGATCTGGAAAATTTCTCCCAGATTTTTGAATTAAAAACAAAACTTTGGCAGTCTAAGCAAGGAAATAGGGCTGTAACAAGCTACTACAATGAGATGGTAGCATTGTGGCAAGAGTTGGACCAGTGTTATGATGATAAGTGGGAGAATACGGATGACTACATTCGACATCAAAAGCGTGAGGAGAATGATCGTGTGTTCATGTTCCTCGCAGGTGTTAACTGTGCTCTAGATGAAGTGAAAGGGAGAATTCTTGGACGACGTCCACTGCCATCGATCCGAGAAGTTTTTTCTGAAGTTCGATTGGAGGAAAATCGTCGGAAGATCATGTACAACAATGAATCTACCGAGCAAGAAAATGAAGTTTCTGCACTTTTTGCTCGAGGAGGACCTGAAGGAGAGAGAAAAAAACCATGGTGTGATTTTTGTAAAAAGCTATGGCATACAAGGGAGACTTGCTGGAAGATTCATGGAAAACCACCGGGAGGGAAAAAGAAACCAGAGAAAGGCTATCAAGCCATAGCTGAAGATTCTCATGTGTCTCAAGTCACCTTGGGACAACCAGCTTTCACGAAGGATCAGATTGAGCATCTCCTGAAACTACTACAAACTACACACAAATCTACTGATCCTAATATCCCCTCCTGCTCTTTTGTACGAGATGGTAAAACAATTTCTATTGTTTCCTATTTTTGTTCTAAACCTCACAGCACTTGGATCATTGATTCAGGTGCTAGTAACCATATGACCGGAAATTCTGGGTTATATTCAACATATAAACCTTGTGCAGGAAATAGAAAAGTTAAAATTGCTGATGGATCCTTATCAGCAATTGCTGGTACTGGTGATATAGTAATTTCACCTTCTTTAACCTTACCCAAAGTATTGCATGTCCCAAACTTGTCAGGCAATCTTATATCTATTAGCAAATTGACCCGTGATCTAAATTGTCAAGCTAACTTTTATCCATCACATTGTCATTTTAAGGAACTGGAGTCGGGAAGGACGATTGGCAATGCTAAGGAACGTGAAGGACTCTACATTCTCGAAGAGGGGATGAAGTCTAAGAATGAATGTCAAGAGAGTGCATGCCTACAAATCTCTACCAACCAAAGTAATAATGAGATATATTTGTTGCATTTTCGCTTAGGACATCCTAGTTTTTATTATCTAAAAAAACTTTTTCCTGATTTATTCATCAATAAAAATCCTTCTTTTTTTCAATGTGAAATTTGTGCTTTGTCCAAGCATCATAAAAATCCATATCCTTCACATCCATATAAACCAACAAAACCCTTTGCACTTATTCATAGTGATATATGGGGTGCATCTCGGGTATCTACTCTTTCGGGTAAAAGATGGTTTCTAACATTAATTGATGATCATACACGGGTGAGTTGGGTGTTTTTGTTAAAAGAAAAATCTGAAGTTGAAAATGTTTTTAAAAGGTTTTATCACATGGTTCAAACTCAATTTCAAACCCAAATTCAAATGGTTAGGAGTGACAATGGGCGTGAGTATTTTACTAACACACTAACCAATTTTTTCGAAAAAAATGGGATAATTCATCAAAGCTCTTGCACAGATACACCACCACAAAATGGCATAGCTGAAAGAAAAAATAGACACATACTTGAAGTCACCCGCGCACTGATGTTTTCAACAAAAATTCCAAAATATCTTTGGGGTGATAGTGTTCTTCATGCTACTTATTTAATAAATCGAATGCCTTCAAAAGTTTTAAAATTTAGAACACCGATTGATATTCTTCAAAAAGAATTTCTGCAATCTCGTGTTTTTCATTCTATGCCATTACATATTTTTGGATGTACTGTGTTTATAAAAAATCCTGACAGATCTGCAAGTAAGTTAGATCCAAAAGGAAAAAAATGTGTTTTTTTAGGGATAGCCCCAACCCAAAAAGGGTATAAATGTTTTGATCCTGTTTCTAAAAGAATATTTGTTACCATGGATACTGAATTTTTTGAATCAAAACCATTTTTTACTGCTCATCTTCAGGGGGAGAATAATCTGGAAGATGATATATTTTTCAAAGAATCAGGATCTAAAAATACTCAAATTCAGAAAAATTTACCCAATAATAGTGAGACTATGATTTTAGTACCAGAGGCTACTACTTTAGAGCCTACTCTTTTAATACCCGAAAAACAACCAAATATATCTCAAGAATTAACTGAGGATGGATATAGGAATCGGGCAAGCACACAGTTTGACAAAGTTTACACAAGGAAGTTTCCAAATCGGGGTGTAGAGTCTAATACTTCACCAGCAAGTCATGAATCTGAACCGACACCAGAATCTGAAAATGGTAAGCAAAACTTTGACCTTGAACTTCCTATTGCCCTCCGAAAAGAAAAACGAACCTGTGCCAAATATCCAACCTCAGCCTATGTTTCATATTCAAAGCTTTCTCCTACGTTCACTTCTTTTTCTATGAATGTATCATCTGTGGTTGTTCCAAGTAGTATTCAGGAGGCTCTATCCCAACCCGAATGGAAAAAGGCTATCTACGAGGAGATGCAAGCTCTTGAGAAGAATCAGACATGGAAAATTGAAGAGTTACCAAAAGGAAAACCTGTTGTCGGTTGTAAGTGGGTATTCACTCCGAAATTTAGAGCTGATGGTACCCTTGAACGCTACAAGGCAAGACTTGTAGCCAAGGGATTTACACAGACATACGGTATAGACTACAAGGAGACATTTGCTCCAGTTGCTAAACTTAACACTGTGAGAATTTTGTTATCTATTGCAGCAAATCTCGACTGGAGTCTAAGACATTTTGATGTAAAAAATGCATTTCTCAATGGAAAACTAGAAGAAGAAGTATATATGAGACCTCCCCCAGGTTTTGAAGAAAAATTTCACTCCAAAGTATGCAAACTACAAAAGGCATTATATGGTTTAAAGCAGTCACCAAAGGCATGGTTTGATCGATTCACTTTGTTTGTAAAAGGGCAAAATTATTGTCAAGCTCAATCCGATCATACCCTATTTACCAAGCTTTCAAAAGAAGGAAAGATAGCTATATTGATTGTTTACGTGGATGATATAATTCTCACCGGTGATTATCATGAAGAATTGGACATTTTGAAAGAAAAGATGGCCAAAGAATTCGAAATGAAAGATTTGGGAGAATTACGATATTTTCTTGGTATGGAAGTTGCTAGGTCTAAAAAGGGTATTATCGTCTCTCAACGAAAATACATTCTAGACCTACTTAATGATACCGGGATGAGTGCTTGTAAGCCGGTCGATACTCCAATTGATCCAAATAAAAAACTTGGAGCTGTTAAAGATGGAACTCCAGTTAATGTGGAACAATATTAGAGATTAGTTGGAAGACTAATTTACTTGGCACACACTAGGCCTGATATTGCCTTTGCTGTGAGTCTTGTTAGTCAATTTATGCATTGTCCATATGAAGAACACCTTAAGGCTGCATATAGGATACTGAGATATTTAAAGAGTTGCCCAGGTAAGGGTTTACTTTTCAAGAAAAGTGATAGCAGATCTGTAGAATCATTTACAGATGCAGATTGGGGAGGGTCCTTCGATGGAAAATCAACTTCTGGATATTGTACATATGTTTGGGGGAATCTTGTGACTTGGAGGAGTAAAAAGCAAAATGTCGTAGCAAGGAGTACTGCAGAAGCCGAGTTTAGATTCATGGCAAATGGAATTTGTGAGTTGTTATGGATAAAACGCGTTCTTGAAGACTTGAAGAAAGACATTAAGTTGCCTATGAAACTGTTCTGTGACAATAAGGCAGCAATTAGTATCTCACAAAATCCGGTACAACATGACTGAACAAAGCACATCGAGATTGATCGACATTTTATAAAAGAGAAGCTGGAGGCAGGGCTTATTTGTATTCCATTTGTCACTTCAAAAGAACAAATTGCCGATATTCTGACAAAAGGATTGTTCAGACCTAGTTTTGAGTTTCTTGTAAGCAAGTTGTGGGCATGTATGATATTTATGCTCCAACTTGAGGGGGAGTGTAGAATATTCAAATTAATATTAATCTAATATACAGCTGGTGTATTAATGTAGGATATAAATTAGGATAATTGAATTAGAGTGATTTGATTTGATTTAGTTTTCCTTGTTTAGATTGATCTAGTTTCCGTGTTTAGGCTTATCATTGTATATATATTGAGGTGATTATCTCATAGTAAAATATAAGAAACAATTCTCTGTAAAACCACACTTTCCATCTCGTATTGTGATAAATTATTGGAAAAGGAGTTGGTAGAAGGGCGAGAGAAGCCTCTGATCAACTCAAACTTACTGATGCTTGAATCTGTATTTATATTTAGTTGGCCAAATTTGAAATCAATCACCGAATTGAGTTCCTTCGATCGCCTCAGGCATCTCATAATAATCAATTGTCCAAATCTGGAGTTATTTCCTGACCACGTGTTGCCGAAACTCAATGTGTTAACACATCTGACAATAATAGATTGTGAAAGTGTTGATGCTTCTTTTCCTTGTGGGCTTTGGCCTCCAAAATTGTGTTCACTTAGTATAGGGGGGCTGAAGAAGCCCATGTCAAAGTGGAGCCCACAGACTTTTCCAACCTCACTTGTGGACCTATATTTAAGAGGTGGACAGTCGGAAGATGTGAGTAATTTCAGTCAGTTGTCCCATCTTCTTCCTTCATCTCTTATACATCTTAGTATAAATAAATTTGAGAAAATGGAATCAGTTTCAATGGGACTCCAACACCTCACCTCCATCCAGCATCTAGTAATTTCCAACTGTCCAAAGGTGATGGATCTACCAGAAATGTTGCTGCCTTCACTCTTGAGTTTGAGAATATGGGAATGCCCAAATCTGAAAGAAAGGATTAGTAAAAGAGGCTCCTACTGGCCCCGAGTCTCACGTATCCCTCAAACTTACATACCCTGAGCAGTTACAAACTTTATCTGAAGGTATGCTCCTCCCTCCGCTGATGATAAATGATAAATTATAAATATAATATTTGATTTTGCTTTCTTTCAACCAACAAAATGCCAATATTATATCCAACATAAGCATGTATATAATAAAAGAAATTGTTTGTATGTCAATATATATATATATATATATATATATATATATATATATATATATATATATATATATATATATATAATATATATATATCATCTTGCTTTCTGAAATTTGGCAGGCCACTTAATTGAGAACTTGGATTCACTTTCAGTGGGACTCCAACACCTCACTTCCCAAAAAAGATGATACAAAAAAAAAATGTAAGGCCCTCCCTCTGCCATTGACTTCTTTTGGTTTATATAGACATAAATTTAATACTAACACATTTTGCTTGAACTATAAAAGCAGCCGCCTAGAGATTATTTATTATAAAAAATGAATTTGTGTCACAATATCAGGAAGTTCTTTTGTTAAAAAAAACATAATTTAGTTGTGAACATGGAAGGGATATGATGGATTGCAGAATATTAGAACTAAATGATTAAAAAGTTTAAGTACTTTAAAAAAAATAGTAGGTTTGAAATTTCATTTGTGAAACAGGAATGATTTGTAATTTCTCTCTGAGGCAGGTCTATCAATCGGATGAGAAACCAACTTTGACCCTTGTGAAGTTGTTGATGGGACTGATAACATCTGGTACACTTATTAGTATTATCAATTATTATTCACAATAGTCTTACTTAGCCCCTTAATATCATGTAGTTTTTCTGAGATTAAACCATTTTGTGTTTGTCGGGTGGAAATTGAAATGATGTGTATGAATATTTTAGTGTTAAAGAAGCTTTATTATCCTTAAACAAGTGCTCCAAAGATTTCACTGGTAAATATGTCAAGACTTGTTTCAGACTATCATTCTAATTTTCTCGTTCTGAGTTTTGTTTGAACTTTCAATTGCAGACAAGTGTGAGAGCAGAAACCGATACATTCCTGACTAGAAACTCATCTTTCAAGGGGTAGTCCAAATGTTTTGTTCACCGCCAGCAAGTTGTATATGAAACATTAGAAACTCATCTAAATGTGTAAATAAAGGGAAAATAAGTAAATAAAGGGGGTTTTATTACTTGTATTTTATTTAACAAAATAGAAAGGAGAAACCATTTTTAGTTATTACTATTTATTTGCAAGAGTTTTTTGAATAAACTGAGTGAGTTGTATTTTCATTTTAACGGGGAAGGCGGATGAGTTTTGAGGTGCTCTCTCTTTGTTTCTTTTTTCTTAGATCATCGATTTCCCTCTTTATATTAATTTTAGTTACAACTTTTAGCTACTTGTTTTTTCACTTCACAAATTAATCTAAAAAGGGAACTAACTAGGAATATACGCATGTGATTTGGAATTTCGTAGCATGCTTGTTAATTGCCTACAAGGTTGGGTTCATTTAACCAACTATAGTATTGTATTTTAAAATTTTATTTCTTATTAGGTCATTATACTTCTAAAAGTTACTATAATAACAACGCAATGAAAGTGCGTTACTATTTGTATTTGGATATCACTACTATAACTGAACATGATTTTTAAAGTGTAATGTTGTAATATGACAACTGAAATAGGATGATATAATAACAAATCAGAGGAAGTATGTTGCTATTTTTTGCATATGACCCTGATCATTAATATAAGTTTGATATACTAAAGGAAAGAACATATTTGGGTGGATGAGCATGTGTCACCGTGGATATAAGTTTGATGTATCTAATGAAATGATAGAGCTTCCATCTCCAAGTAACTCTAATTTGTAGATTAACTGGAATGATTTTCCAAATGTAACCGTGATTACACAACAACCGACCCTTTGTATACTTATGCTAAATAATATGAGACCAGAGTCATATTTCAATGATGGAAACAACCATTTTGTGCCTACGCATGAAAAGTTTACAACTTTCCACATCACTAGGGTCCTCTAGACCTCTAAAACTGTTCTGCTTATATGAATTGCGCTTATATGATTAAAGGAATGTTATTTGACTTATAGGACTAATCAGAAGTAGATAAGAAAAATGAGACAAAGAAAGAGAACCAACTTGGTATAACAGAGAAAACTTTATCCATCTGAAGTCAATGTGAACATTAAATCAATCATTTTTTAACAATCATTATAGAAGATGAATTGTAGAATAGATTAGAGGCAATGAAAGAGAAAGTAGCATACAAAGAATAGTGGCTTCAATGGTGATCACCCTCACTAGAAAGCAATGAGGTTTGTTCTTGTATATGTTGAGATAAACACAAGTAGCTTCAATGCTATTATATTTACAATGTGTAAAGCAATGTTCCACATTCCAAATTTTTAGAATCGATTTGGTCAATTAGATATGATACGAACAGGCCCTTGCTTCACATTATTCTAACAAAGAAACTCCTTGAATGCTTAAGAACTAAAATAGGGTATGCAAGTTAAATATTAATAGAAGATTAGAAATGAAACAAATGACATGCTACCGATTTAGAGAATCCATCTCAACATCATTTCTAACATCATCCATTTCAAACAATAAACTTTCATCAAGTGGAAAGTCATGAATTTTGAAGGTCATTAGTCATTGTTGCAGATTGATCGACATGACTAATGTTATCACCCAAAGTGATCATTTTACTCAGAATTTTTTTTTTACAATTGGGTAATATTCAAGAAATTGCTTAAATGTGGCAAATAGGGACATATATACACTGTCCGGAAATACACATTGATTTCTTGCCAAAAGACTACCAATTAACCATAGATTGCATTTGCATGTTATTCTTGTTTCAATTCATAACTTCAGTTAAGCATTTTATCAAACACATAATATGCATGTAAAACTATCAAATAGAGGCTTGTTCAAATTGAATTATAAGCAAATAAATTGAAACTGATTGTTGAAACGTGGCCGGAAGGTATCAAGGTAATATCGAAAAAGGTTTTCATGATATATAAAAGAAAACCTTAGTTGCCATGATGTCCATGAGGACAAAACTGGAACGCCACCAACTGTGTAATACATCAAATCTCTAAAATATGCCGTCTTTTACTGTTATGGGGTTGAATCCAGCTTAACATACTTTTTTTTTTCTGGATAATAGTGAAAACATTTGTGTTTTTGATTCAAAATGATTTTCCTTCCGGGCTTAAAGCTTGAGAGCGAGAATGATAGAGGTAAATGAGGATACTTTTATTACGATAGGATGATGAATATGATAGAATAGATAAAGATAGGAGGCCAAACTTGTAAATTCCAATTACCTAAACGTTTGAAAATATATCACTTGGAAATTCCAACTGTACTTAAATAGCTTGCATTTTATTATATATAATAAATAGGTTATCTATTTTATAACCTGAGATTTTTAATATATATATATATATATATATATATATATATATATATATATATATATATATATATATATATATATATATATATATATATATATAGAGAGAGAGAGAGAGAGAGAGAGAGATGTTCAAATGTTTCTCACATCTATTGTGTGTTAGAATGCACCAATAAAAATTTAGTATTAATTATATGTATATTAAATGTTATCCATACTTATAATTCATTTTTATGGAAACTAATTAAATTCGTCATTAATGTCAACAATAATATTCTTTCAGAATGAATTCATATCTACAAGAATGAGAGTGTATTCCAGCAGAATGAGAGTGTATTCTAGTAGAATACACTCTCGTTCTTCATATTCCATGCAAATTTATTGTATTTTAAGTGAGTGAGTCCTGAAACAAAATACGAACTCATATATAAAATTTATTGAAAGTACATTACTATTTTTTTTAACTTTGATTCTCCTTTCATTTGTTTACAACCTTACAGGAAATGCCTACATGTAAGATATTGTACCTAAAAGACATTGACCAAATCAATGATGATACACACATCAAGGTCCGAGTACCGAAGCTATGAAACTTTACAAAAAATAATGGTGTTTTATCAATTGAAATGATTTTCATGTACGAAGAGGTTGTTTACAATTTTTTTATATAATTTTATTTCATTATAATAAAAAATTATTATATTCATTCCAATGTCAAATCTAATTTTCCTTTATTGTTTTGACTGGGTACCAAATATCAATCTCGTGTTTTAATAATAAATTTCGAAATTTCAACGTCTCCTATAGGAAGGCCAAACTTATGTCATTAAAAAACCAAACATGACATTTGTCAATAAATGTTATAGTATTACAGGTCAAAATCAAACAATAGTAAATCACACTACAAGCATCATACTAATTTATAATTTATTATATTCATTTTATTTGTGTTTATTACATTACCAACATGTTTAATAAGTAATATATCAATTTTATTTCCATGATTTTTTGTGTTTTTTCACTATTCTCATATGTATTTTTCATCTCACGATTTTTTATTAATACTGCGTTTCTTTATCAACCGTGGTTTCCACGGATTTAAACCTAGGAAACCTATAATGAAACAAAATATGTCATGTAATTCTTATAAGTCCACGTGATCTCAACCATTTCAGTTTATTCGGTTCATTAATTTAAAAAAGGTTAAAAAATAAATTGGTTTTATTAGAATAATATAATATAATGTTTTTATAAGCATATGTCTAGTTTTCCCAAAAATAATCTCGTGTTTTAATAATAACTTTTCAAAATTTCAACGTCTCCTAAAGGAAGGCCAAACTTATGTCATAAAAAAATCAAACATGACATTGGTCAATAAATGCGATAGTATTACGGGTCAAAATCAAACAATAGTAAATCAGACTACATGCATCATATTAATTTATAATTTATTTTATTCATTTTATTTGTGTTTATTACATTACCAACATGTTTAATTTGTAATATATCAATGTTATTTCCATGATTTTTTGTGTTTTTTCACTATTCTCAAATGTATTTTTCATCTCATGATTTTTTATTAATACTGATTTTCTTTATGATCTGTGGTTTCCACGGATTTAAACCTAGTAAACTTATAATTAAACAAAAATATGTCATGTAATTCTTATAAGTCCACGTGATCTCAACCATTTTTGTTTATCCGGTTCATTAATTTACAAAGGTTAAAAAATAAATTGGTTTTATTAGAATAATATAATATAATGTCTTTATAAGCATATGGCTAGTTTTCCCAAAAATAATCTCGTGTTTTAATAATAACTTTTCGAAATTTCAACGTCTCCTAAAGGAAGACCAAACTTATGTCATAAAAAAATCAAACATGACATTGGTCAATAAATGTTATAGTATTACGAGTCAAAATCAAACAATAGTAAATCACACTACATGCATCATATTAATTTATAATTTATTTTATTCATTTTATTTGTGTTTATTACATTACCAATATGTTTAATTTGAAATATATCAATTTTATTTCCATGATTTTTTGTGTTTTTCCACTATTCTCAAATGTATTTTTTCATCTCGTGATTTTTTATTAATAGTGTTTTTCTTTATCAAACCTATAATTAAACAAAATATGCCATGTAATTCTTACAAGTCCACGTGATCTCAACCATTTTTGTTTATCCTGTGCATTAATTTAACAGAAGTTAAAAAATAAATTGGTTTTATTAGAATCCTCCTCTCTAATAAATGGAAGTTTTTTTTGTCACTTGTCATATTCTGATTCAATTTGCTAAATGTCATTTTGTGGTTATTTTGATTTTTTTTCACATGTCATTTTATGAGTTTTTCTATTTAAATTATCTGTTTAAATTTAAAAGATAAAAAACATTTACATTATAATAATTCATTATTTTTTATTATTTTCTTATAACATAAAAATTTTCAAGACCTTTATATATATATATATATATATATATATATATATATATATATATATATATATATATATATATATATATATATAAATTAACCCATATAATACATATGCTAATATAAATATAATTTGTTTATAAGCATATGACTAATTGTCGCAAAAATTAATAATGCCACAGCGAGACGAGGTTTAGTAGTACTACCACCACGCGGTTCGTTACTCTCCAAATCCCACACAAGCAGTGGAAATTCTTACGAAACAAGGCGATGAAGAAGAGAACGGCGAGCAGGAAGAAGATGGTGAGGGCCATGGAAAAATCGAACGGAGAGTCGGCCGTGAAGGATGGTTTCGGCGATCCATCAATCACTATCTGGACCCACCAGGCCACCATACCAACTCGGACCTCATCGACCCCATGAGCTGCTGAGCAGTGAGGTCTGAATGTTCTTTGATTTTCCTTTTGATAAATTAGTTATAATTCGCAATGTTTTGTTAACTATTTTTCAAACTACAGCCTTGCAACTTTTGGGGCCACAAAATTGTGGTGTGCATTGATTTTATCCGAATCTATGCCCTCATCCATAATTAAAACCTTTCTCAGTGTGCATTCACATCTCTACTATAAACAATAATTGAAATCATTCTCTCCGCATATCCATTTCTTCCCCATTTCCACTAATATTCTCTGCTCTTATCATAAACAATGGCTGAAATTGTTGTTTCGGCCTTCTTCTCTGTGTTCTTTGAAAAGCTGGCCTCTGAAGCCTTCAAGAAGATTGCTCGCGCTAAGGGAATTGATTCCCAGCTCAGCAAACTGAAGAGGTCATTAATCCAGATTAAAGCTCTGCTTAATGATGCTTCTCAGAAGGAAATAAGTGATGAAGCTGTTAAAGAGTGGTTGAATGGTCTCCAACATCTGGCTTACGACATAGACGACCTACTTGATGACTTGGCAACAGAAGGTATGCATCGTGAGTTGACCGAGGAACCTGGAGCCACCACCAGCATGGTAAGAAAGTTAATCCCAACCTGTTGCACAAATTTCTCACTGAGTAGTAGGATGGGTAGCAAGTTAGATGCTATTACCACCAAGTTACAAGAACTGGTAGAGGAAAAAGAAAATCTTGGTTTAAGTGTGAAAGATGAAAGCCCAAAACATATGAATAGAAGATTAGAGACCTCTTTGGTAGATGCATCTAGGATTATTGGACGCGAAGGTGAAAAGGATGTGTTGCTCCACAAGTTACTGGGGGATGAAGCATGTGATAAAAACTTTAGCATCGTGCCCATAGTTGGTATGGGTGGGGTGGGTAAGACCACTCTAGCCAGACTTCTATATGATGAAATGCAAGGGAAGGCTCACTTCGAACTCAAGGCATGGGTTTGTGTTTCTGATGAATTTGATATCTTCAATATCAGCAAAGTTATCTTTCAATCGATAGGCGGGGGAAACAAAGAATTTAAGGACTTAAATCTTCTTCAAGTAGCTTTAAAAGAGAAGATCTCAAAGAAAAGATTTCTTCTAGTTCTTGATGATGTGTGGAGTGAAAGCTATACCGATTGGGAACTTTTAGAACGCCCATTTCTTGCAGGGGCACCAGGAAGTAAGATTATCATGACCACCCGGAAGCTGTCGTTGCTAACCCAACTAGGTTACAATCAACCTTACAGTCTCTCTGTTTTGTCACATGAGAATGCTGTATCTTTATTCTGTCAACATGCATTTGGTGAAAATAACTTCGATTCACATCCAACACTTAAACCACATGGTGAAGGTATTGTCAAAAAATGTGATGGCTTGCCATTGGCTTTGATAGCGCTTGGGAGGTTATTGAGGACAAAAACCGACGAGGAAGAATGGAAGGAGCTGCTTAATAGTGAGATATGGAGCTTAGGGAAGAGAGATGAGATTACTCCAGCTCTTAGGCTAAGCTACCATGATCTTTCTGCCAATTTGAAGCTGTTGTTTGCATACTGCTCCTTGTTCCCTAAGGACTACATGTTTGACATGGAGGAGTTGATTCTATTATGGATGGCGGAAGGGTTTTTGCATCAATCAAGTACTACAGGGAAATCAATGGAACGTATGGGTGTTGAATGTTTTGAAGACTTGTTGTCAAGGTCATTTTTCCAAGAGGCACCTAATGATAAATCGTTATTTGTTATGCATGACCTGATGAATGACTTAGCCATGTCTGTTGCTGGAGAATTTTTTTCAAGGTTAGACATTGAAATGAAGAAAGAAATTGGGAAGGCAGATTCGGGTAAGTACCGCCATATGTCATTTGTTTGTGAGGAGTATATGATTTACACAAAGTTCGAGGCATTGAAAGGAGCTAATAGTTTGAGAACATTCTTAGCATTGTCTTCTGAGCAAAAATGGTGGCAAGAATTCCACTTATCGAATAAAATTCTGACAGACTTAGTTCGTGAGTTACCATTATTAAGAGTCTTAAGTTTTAGTCGACTTAGCATAAATGAGGTACCAGAATTCATTGGCGGTCTGAAGCACTTGCGGTATCTTAATTTTTCTAGAACTAAAATCACACATTTGCCTGATAATGTCTGTGACCTTTATAATTTACAGACGTTGATAATTTTTGGCTGTCATAGACTAGAAAAGTTGCCCAACAGCTTCAAAAAGCTTAAAAATTTGCGGCATTTTGACATGAGGGGCACTCCACTTTTGAAGAAGATGCCATTAGGAATTGGTGAGTTGAAAAGCCTACGAACTCTCTCTAAGATCATTATTGAAGGAGAAAACGGCTTTTCAATAACCGAGCTTAAAGATCTAAAGGATCTCCAAGGTAAAATTTCCTTTAAGGGGCTTGACAAAGTGCAAAATGCAATGCATGCACAGGAAGTGAACTTATCCCACAGGAGGCTAAGTGAGTTAGTGGTGGAATGGAGTGGTGTATTTGATAATTCTCGAAAGGAAACAGTTGAACTGGAGGTCCTGAATGTGATGAAGCCTCATAATGATAATCTAAAACGTCTCAAGATTGTGTCATATGGAGGTACAGAGTTTCCGAGCTGGGTTGGGGATCCCTCCTTTCATCGGTTGGCTAAAGTGACATTAAATGGTTGTAAAAGGTGTACGTCTCTACCGCTACTTGGGCAGCTACCATCACTTAAGCAGTTGGTTATTGAAGGCATGGATGAGGTGAAAGTTGTTGCTTTGGAGTTTCTTGGGACTAATGGTCTTCCATTCCCTTCACTTGAAAATTATGAAAGGGTGGGAGGCATGGTCAACCAATAATAATGGGGTACTTGTCGATACAACATTTCCATGCCTTCAAGAGCTTCGTATTGAAAGTTGTCCTAATTTGGTTAGAGTCTCAGTTGAAGCATTACCTTCACTGAGGGTTCTAAGGATAAGTGGGTGCGGTCATGAAGTGGTAGGAAGTCTGGTTCATGTAGCTTCATCGATCACTAACTTGGATATAAGTTATATTTCAGGACTTAATGATCAGGTGTGGAGAGGTGTGATAGAGTATCTTGGGGCAGTTGAAGAAGTAAGGATCACAGGGTGTAATGAAATAAGATACTTGTGGGAATCAGAAGCAGAGGCAAGTAAGGTTCTTGTGAATTTAAGGACGTTGCATGTATGGGATTGTTCAAATTTGGTGAGATTAGGAGAGAAAGAGGAGGATAATTGCGGGAGCTACCTAACATCTCTTACGAGCTTGGAGGTATGGCATTCTAATAGCCTGGAGCATTTCAGATGTCCAAATAGCCTTAAGTCACTTACCATCGCGCATTGTAATATATTATTGGAAAAGGAGTTGATAGGAGGACGAGAGAAGCCTCTGATCAACTCAAACATACCAAAGCTTGAATCTCTACGTATAAGTGATTGGCCAAATCTGAAATCAATCACTGAATTGAGTTCCTTCAATCACCTTTTGAAACTCGAAATAAGCGATTGTCCAAATATGGAGTCATTTCCTGACCATGAGTTGCCGAAACTCAATGTGTTAACACATCTGGCAATAGTAAGATGTCTGAGCATGGATGCTTCCTTTTCTCGTGGGCTTTGGCCTCCAAAATTGTGTTTCCTTTTAATAGGAGGGTTGAAGAAGCCCATTTCAATGTGGGGCCCACAGACTTTTCCAACCTCGCTTGTGGAGCTAGGGTTAACAGGTGGACAGTCGGAAGATGTGAGTAATTTCAGTCAGCTGTCCCATCTTCTTCCTTCATCTCTTACTTCTTTTGGCATAATCGAATTTGAGAAACTGGAATCAGTTTCAAAGGGACTCCAACACCTGACGTCTCTCCAGCATCTCTCCATTATCGACTGCCCAAAGGCGATGGATCTACCAGAAATGTTGCTGCCTTCACTCTTGAGTTTGGGAATTGAAGGATGCCCAAATCTGAAAGAAAGGATTAGTAAAAGAGGCTCTTACTGGCCCCTCGTCTCACGTATCCCCTGCATTGACATATCCTGAGCAGTTACAAACTTAATCAGAAGGTATGCTCCTCCCTCTGCTGATGATAAATTATAAATATAATATTTAATTTTGCTTACTTTCAACCAACAAATGCCAATATTATATCCAACATAAGCATGTATATGATAAAAGAAATTGTTTGCATGTCAATATATGGTTGTAAACATGGACAAGCAGTTTTATAACTTTATTAACTCATCCTGCTTTCTGAAATTTGGCAGGCCACTTAATTGAGAACTTGGATTCACTTCCCAAACATGATGATACAAAAAAAAAAAAGGTAGCCCCTCCCTCTGCCTTTGACTTCTTTTAGTTTATATACACATAAATTTAATAATACATTTTGCTTGCACTATAAAAGCATCCCCTAGAGCTTGTTTTAGCATAAAAAATAAATTTATGTCACAATATCAGGAAGTTCTTTTGTTAAAAAAATATCATTTAGTTGTGAACATGGAAGGGATATGATGGATTGCAAAATATTAGAACTAACTGGTTAAAAAGTTTAAGTACTTTAAAAGAAAAATAGTAGGTTTGAAATTTCATTTGTGAAATAGGAATGATTTGGAATTGCTCTCTGAGGCAGATCTGTCGATTGCAGACAAGTGTGAGCATAAAAGACGTATTCCTGATTTCTGCATATCTTCTCCACAAGCAGACCAATCAACTTAATTTCAAGGGGTGATCCAGATGTTTTGGGCGAGTTGTATATGAAATATTAGAAGCTCATGTGTGTGTGTGTGTGTGTGTGTGTGTGTGTGTGTGTGTGTATATATATATATATATATATATATATATATATATATATATATATATATATATATATATATATATATATGTTTAATTAAAGGGAAAATAGTTAACAAATAAAAGGGGATTTATTAGTTGTATTGTATTTAACAAGATAGGAAGGAGAACTCATTTTTATTACCATTTATTTGCAAGAGTTTTTGGAATAAATTTTTCACTACCTTTTTCTTGCAATGATTTTGTGCCTACGCATGAAAATGTAACTTTTTAAGGACCTCAGTCTATAAATGATTTGTTAAATCCTCTGCTTCACAAGTTTAGGCCATCACTAGAGTCCTCTAGACCTCTAAAATATTATGCTTATAAGAATTGCGCTTATACGAATAAGGGAATATTATTTGACTTATATATAGGGGTAATTAAAAACTATATAAGAAAAATGAGACGAAGAAAGAGAACTAACTTGGAATAATTGAGAAAACTTCATCCATCTGAAGTCAATGTGAACACCAAATCAATCATTGTTTAACAATCATGATGGAATATAACTTGTAGAATAGATTAGAGACAATGAAAGAGATAGTATCATACAAAGAATAGTGGTTCGATGGTGATCATGGCCACTAGAGAGTAACGGAGTTTGTGAACTATTATTCAGATGTTGAGATAAACACAAGTAGATTCAATGCTATTATAGATATAGTTTGTGAACCATTATTCAGATCCACATTCCAAATTTTCAGAATTGATTTGGTCAATTCGATATGAGAGAAATAGTATTTGCTTCACATTATGTTGAACAAAAAAACTCCTTGAATGCTTAGAAACAAAATAAGGTATGAAAGTTATCAATATATGATTAATAATGAAACAAATAATATGCTACAGATTTAGAGAATCCATCTCAAATCATTTCTACCATCCATTTCAAACAATAACTTTCATCAAGTAGAAAGTTATGACTTTTGAAGATCATTAGTCATTGTTGCAGATTGATCAGCATGACTAATGTTATCACCCAAAGTGATTCTTTACACGAAAAAAATTAATGACTAGGTTAATATTTCAGAAATTGCTTAGATGTGGCAAATAAGGACACATACTCGGTCAGAAAAATACACATTAATTGCTTGTGAAAAGACTATCTATTAACCAAATATTGCATTTGCATGTTATTCTTGTTTCAGTTCATAACTTTGGTCAAGAATTTTATCATGCACGTTAAATATTTTATCAAACACATAACGTGCATGTAAAACTATCAAATAGAGTCTTGTTCAAGTCGAATTATAAACAATAAATTAAAGTTGATTGTTGAAACTTGGAAGGTAATATCGAAAAAGGTTTTCGTGATATAAAAAAGAAAACCTTAGTTGCCATGATGTACATGAGGACAAAACTGGAATGAAACCAACCATATACATCAAACATCTAAAATGTCATCTTTTATTGTTATGAGGCTGAATTTAACTTAACATATTTTTTTTCTAGATAAGGACTAATATCACTGAAGTCCTATGTTTTTGGCACTAAATTGGAAAAAGCCCTGAATTTAACTTTTCATTTACTGTGACCACGATATTTTCATTGACTTATCGTTTGAGGGCAACGAGCCGGTCACCAGCAGTAACCTGTACCATCCTGTCACCACTAAGCTATTCCCTAGCCATCACCTTTCACGAACCATCACTGCTAAAGGGTTTTTCATGCATTCGAGAAGGTTTTGACGCTGAGAAGAGTTTCATAGTCCCCAATTTCGCAACTTGAAGCTCCGAAATCGTTGGTGAAGTAAGGTTGGAGTAGAAAGGTACGTGTATGGAAACAAGAAATTGATGATTATGAGGGTGGTTATCTTCGTCTATGGAGTATGGAGTTCCAAGTTTGAACTAACAAGTTGTTTTTTTTTTTTGTTATTTTTATGAAATAGATGGCTTCTACTTCTGGAACTAAGAAGCCTAAAGGGCCTAAGCTCCCTGAGAAGACATACCTTCCAGACTCTGACTCCCGATGATGATGCATTTGACTTTAGCTTCTTGGGTTTTTCTGAAGAAACTTTCAAAGCCCCCTCAAGACTATGTGATGATCAGTTTCTTAACTTATTGTATGATGAAAACATATTAAGGAGGAGGATTGATGGAATGGTAGATGATTGAGACATTCCTGGTGTCCAACAAAAAGAGCATGCCCACTTAGATGAGGACAATGAAGATGTTGGTGTGGAGTATAGGGTGCATGATCCCAATGTTGACTGGAAAGAGATGAGGCCCCGATTAGGAGACTGTTATGAATCCCTTGCTCAACTCAGGTTTGCTTTAACTAACTATGCAGTCCATGGAGGGGTACCGACTTTATTTTGAAAAAAGTGATAGAGTGAGGGTTATAGCTAAGTGTGGTAGTGGAACCAGGGACATCAATGATAATAACAAATGCAATGTCCATTTAGGGTTGCAGCTGGATGGAAGTACAATGAAAGAACATTCCAGATAAAATTTTGTAATGAAATGCATCTGTGTGCTAGGAATTATCATTTTGGTTCCTTAGTTACTAGCAATTGGTTAGCCAAACACTACTTGAAAGATGTAATCATGAAGCCCAAGATGACATTGCTAGAGATGCAAGCAGATGTGCTATAAAGGTTTTCAGTGAGTGTATCTCTTGGGCAATGCCAAAGAGCAAGGGCTACTGCAATGGGGATGATAGAAGGGAAATTAGAAGACCACTATTCCAAGGTTTGGGACTATGCAGCTGCAATTAGGTTGAGTAATCCGGGTACAACTTGCTTGGTGGGGGTAGAAAGTAATCTGGGGTGTAACTATTTCAAAAGGTTTTATGTTGGCTTCAAGGCTTTCAGAGATGGATGGAGCAGAGGATGTAGAAGGGTAATAGGACTAGATGGTAGTTTCTTGAAGAGGCAGGTTAAGGGGGAGATTTTAACTGCTATTGGGAGGGATGCAGACAACCATGTCTACCCAATAGCATGGGCAGTTGTGAATGTTGAGAATAAGGACAACTGGACCTGGTTCATTGATAATTTGGTTGTTGATTTGGATCTTGGTGCTGGCAATGGATTGGTTGTTATCTCAAACCAACACAAGGTACCACAACATACACTAGTATACAATATATATTTGTATGTTACAGTCATTAATATTTACATGTGTTGTGTTGTGTTTGTTTGTTAATTATAGGGACTTTTACAGGCTGTGGCAGACCTACTCCCTCATGTTGAGCACAAACAATGTGCTAGACACATCTTTGGAAACTTTAGAAAGAATTGCACATCATTAGAGCTAAAGAATATGTTCTGGGAAGATGCTATGAGTACAGTGAAAGGGGACTTTCTTGCTACAATGGAGAAGATAAAGAAGATAATAGAAACAGGATACACCTATCTTATGGCAAGGAAACCTGAAACTTGGTGCAGAGCATTCTTTTCTCATGGGTATGCTTGTGAAGCAGTAGAGAATGGGGTTGCAGAATGCTTCAATGGCATGATCAAAGAAATAAGGAAGAAGCCTATAATCACAATGCTTGAGGAAATAAGGATTCTCCTTATGAAAAGGTTTTTTCATCAAGGTCAAGAGGTAGCCAAATGGAGGGGTAATTATGGTCCTAACATACAACTGAAGCTTAATGAATTTGGGAAAGATATGAGGTAATATAAGTTTTTATTGGCATGTATCCAAAAATATTAAGTATTTATATGTGTACTTTGTTTGTTTTGTGTGTAGGTTGTGGACAGTGGTGCCAAGTGGTGGTGATGTGTTTGAGACTAGGTATGGCTACAATGGATAGAAGGTTGATTTAGCCAATCACACTTGCACCTGCAACTTGTGGATGTTGTCGGGCATACCATGTGTGCATAGTCAAGATGAAATCAACTATGTCTACAAAGATCCAAGTCAATTCCTTTCTTCTTGGTTCCACAAGGACAAATATGTTGCAACCTATAGTCAGAACATACAACCTGTAGGTGGAAGCAACTTGTGGCCAATGACTGAGTTTATTAAACCATTACCACCCCTAGTTAGAAGGATGCCTGGAAGACCCAAAGTAAATAGAGTGAAGCATGCATCTGAATCACAAGATGCCAAATACCCCTCACAAAGGTTAAAGGTTACTAGGACTGTGATGTGTGGAAAGTGCCAACAACTTGGCATAATAAGATTTCATGCACAAATGATGAGGTACCTAAGCCCCCTGTCCCAAAAAGGAAGATTGGAAGACCTAGGAAAGATGGGGGAGGCCAACCTATTTTTGACCAATTCCCTCCAGTTAAGCCTGCTATACCAAGAAGTGTCGCTGCTCCTCCCCCAGTTTCAGAATGTGGTGATCAAGTTGGTGGGCCTGATATACCAAGAAGTGATGTTACTCCTCCCCCAGTTTCAGAATCTGGTAATCAAGTAGGTGGTGCTAATGTTAGTCCTCTGAAATTGACTAAGATGATGGCAAGGAGAGGAGGGAAAACTAAAGTGTCTGGATCAAGGAACAAAACACCAAAGAAAACACCTAATGGTAAGAAACATAAGAGTAAAGCAAAGGAGGATGTGTCCCTAACCTGTGATGAGGATTTTGTTGATCTTTTTACCCATGCACCTACTGGTAAGCAAGGTATGAGTCAAGAAAAAGAGGATGTTCAGGAACAAGAACATGATGACAATGAGGTGAATGTAGGGGTGGCAATTGTTGACACGACACGACAAAAATACACGACACGAAACGAAATTGGTATGAAATTGAAATTTGAATTCGTGTTCGTGTCGTGTCAAGTGTCAAGTGTAAAAAACACGATGTCGTGTCGTGTCGTGTTCGTGTTCAAAATTCGACACGAAATTGACACGATTTAACATTTATTTGTCGTGTTTGTCGTGTTTTTCGTGTTATGTATGATTAAATATTAATTAAATAAACTAATTGTTATATTATGTTATCTTTGTCGTGTCGTGTCGTGTTTGTCGTTTTTTAATTGGATCATTTTCGTGTTAGTTAAAAAAACACGACATCGTGTTGTGTCGTGTTCGTGTTACAAAAAACTTTGTCGTGTCGTGTCGTGTCAGACAGAAACACGACACGATGACCCGATTTGCCACCCCTAGGTGAAGGTGAGTGAAGGTAGGAGTGGAAGCCTCCTGATAATTAGGAAATTGGATAACTACTTGGATTTGAAATATTATTATTGTATGTTCAAATTAGGGTTTCCAAGGTTTCCTAAGTAGCTATAAATATGTACCTATACCAAAAAAATTCGTCCACTCCATTACCAAGAGAATAGCTAAAAATTTTCTCTCATCCTCTCCCTCAATAGTCTTCTAGTTCTATGGTTTGAGCACAAACCATTAGAGGCATCATAATTTTGGTGTTATGCTTTCTAAGATCAAATGCAAGGGATTGAAGAGAATTTTTTTTATTTCAACAATTCAAAGGTATGTAACCCTAACTTGGTATTTTTTTATTACATTAGGGTTCATGTTAGGTTTTGGTGTTAATTGTATGTTACCTTTAAAGTGTTATGACATTGATCCTTATAGGTTACATGTGCCCTTAAATGTTAAGTGATTTTTCCACATGTACATGTATTTTATATCCTATAAAACTCATCAGTGGTATCAGAGCATTTGGTGTATCTAATATTGATTGTACATGAATTGAATCAAACATTTTTTTCACAAAAGACTCAGCGCGCCTTTTGTTTTTTCAATTTTTGTGCCTCGATCTGCCTAATATGATTAGTATCCGAATTTTGAATGCCTTATACGATTAAAAATAAAACCCTAAATATTAAGAGATAATCATGGAATAGTTAATATTTAATTAAATTAAATTATCATTATGGATTTAATTATAAGATTAATTAAATAGAGTAATACTTATGAATTTAATAATAAATTTAATTATAAGATTAACTAAATAGATAATTATAAAACAACATATTAGGTTTTAATTGATTAATTAATTATATGATTAATTTAGATCATTAATATTTTAATCTTGTGTTTTAAGAAGTTGTAAAATACACCTTTTATATATATATATATATATATATATATATATATATATAAATATATATATATATATATATAGATATATATATAAAGGTGTATTTTAAAACTTTTTAAAACACAAGATTTAAATATTAATTATCTAAATTCAGATTGAGATAAACTTTTTAAAATAGAGTAATACTTATTAAATTCATAAGTATTAATCTATTTAACAATAAAAAAGACTTTGATAGATTCAAGGATCGTGTTTATCAAATACTTTCTAAAATATGTAATTCGTCTCTTTTGCCTGGGGTACACGAATTCAGAAGTGGGATAATCCAAGAATGAACCAATATGAACTACATGCCTAATTCAGATTGAGAAACACCGAATACTTGTTAATTGTGTTCTTGAGAGATATATAAACATGATATAATTTCGAGTATATTAATGTTCAACCCTTTTTCTGAAACCAAACAAAAGTTCTTAGACTTGAGGGTAAGTGGTTAAAATCAGTTAAACCAAAATTGTGCCAAATCATGGTAGTTATTAGACACAACCAATATACCATCGCCAACGGCTCTGCCTCTTGGACCCCGCTAGGGGTGTTGCCCCTAGACCTCGCCAAGGGGCTGCAGCCCGTTGGAACCCTGCACCCAGGGGCGCTGCCCCCACACCCCCGTATTCCTAATTTCACATTTATCACACATTCACATTTATCACACCGTATTCCTGATTTCACATTTATCACATTTATCTCGCACCTCCAAGCTCGGTTAGTAAATGAAGCTCGACCTATCTCATTATTAATAATAACTACACCAAAATATGTTGATAACACTAAAATCACCCAACATTGGAGCATTTCTATAAAGGATGAATTTAATGCTCTTATCTCTAACAATACATGGGTCCTTGTTATGAGGCCCTTAATGGTTAATATTGTTCGCTTCATGTGGTTATTCAAGAAGAAATACAAAGCAGATGGTTTTCGTGACAGGTACAAAGCCCACTTGGTAAATGGGAAAAGTCAGTGGCCCGAGATTGATTATGATGAGACCTTTAGTCCTATTGTTAAACCAGCAACGATCTAATGTATTCTTAGCATCACCATCTCTAATCATTGGTCGCATCACTAGTTGGATGTAAAGAATGATTTCTTCCACATGCTACTTAACGAGAATGTTTACATGTATCAACCACCATGATTTCATGATTCTGGTCACCCTTACCATGTTTGTTTACTAGCAGCTACTAGGGCTATCAAATCTATACCACAAGAAACTAACAAACTTGCTACCAACCAAACCAAAAAAGGTAGCTGCCAGAATGTTTGGTAGCTAACATGTTTGGTTGTTAGTACGGTACCAATTCAGTAATCATGGTACAAAAATGGTACAGATTTTAAAAACCACGGTATTACCATACTAACAAATTCTTGAACTATTACTAATGAAAATAAGAAAAAGTTGGTATATAGGATTTCCAATTTGTATCAACCAAAATTACTGGTAGCCAAACAAGTTGTTACCAAGTAGACTTCACACGGTAATGATAGCACAAAATTTGTACCAACTATAATTGATACGGTATACGACATCGTACCATGTTCACTGTAGCAGTTACTATGTATATCTTGGTTATAGCTTTGTCTCCTAGTGATCCAAGAGACAAGCCAATGTTTCTCATATTAGTACCGATGCAGAGTCCAAAGCTATAGCTAACGATGTTGCAGAAACATGTTGGCTTCAAAACCTACTAAAGAGCTTCACAATCCTCTTTTGAAGCCGCCAATGTCTACTGCAACAACACAACATCTTTGTGGTTTACCTCTCATTGATATGTATGTTTTACCTCTCATCCAATACCAACATACGAAGCATATAGAGATTGACATCCATTATGTACGGGATAAGGTCGACAGTGGGAAAGTTCTAGTTTTTTTCATGTCCCTTCTAGCCTTCGATATGCTAACATCTTCACCAAGGGACTTCCTTCATCACCCTTCAACAATTTTCGATCAAGTTTGAGTGTCTGCTTTCCAGATCCCGCTCCAACTGCAGGGGGCATATATATATATATATATATATATATATATATATATATATATATATATATATATTATTGTATAGATAGGGTCGATACTTGTATTTCATGTATTTATGTATAATTCTTTTGATTGATTTAGATATGGAAAATATTCTACACTAATAGTTACATGTTATTACTGATAAATATAGTCTACATAACTATTAGGGTGGTCCGTACAGCCCTCCCCTTGGAGTGCGATAGGATGGGAAATGATGTCCTAGGTGGTCTTTACGCTTCGCCCCTCCACACTTGATGAACTTCATCAGCACCAGTGCATGATGCAATCCACCATTTATCTCATGCATCATCAGTTGTACATTATGCTTTAGTATTTGTACATCTTGTTATGGTTTACCAAATAAATAATACGTTTGACAAGTGGAAGAGAGATGACGCTAAGGATTAAAATGATGAGAATGACCCATATCGACCACCCTTACGTGTAAAAAATTAAGTACATTGCTTATAGTGATTGAAAAATATACAAGTCTCATATGTTAATTTAAATGTATTAAGTAAGGTATATACATCTCAATCACTCGATGCATTTGCTAGAGCTCTCATTTTAAAAAAATTTATTAGCCTTTTCAAATCGCAGCTGCTGAATTACATCAAACTTCACCAAAAGTCTACAAATAATAAAATAAAAAGGAAGATGACATGGATGAGGGAATGATGGGCATGCAGATTTTAATTGAATAAATAAATAAATAACTATGTCATAACAAGTGAGTTAAGTTGGGTGCTATTTAAAAAACCAAAAAGTACATTTTATTATTAAAAAGTTATATTTTATAGGTTTATAACAATTAGAAATTAAATATTTTACCATCTAATCACCCCACTGATCCTTTCCACTACAGAAACAATTATCCAATCATCATCGTTATCTTCATATGTAATATCAAATTATGACCATGTAAAAGATACATCAACTTACTTTCATTAAGACTTCCCTTTTGTGATCTACATTTTACAGTGTGTAAGAATTTTCGTTACAATTATTATTAAAAATAATTATAACTTTTGGTCAAAAAAAGAAACAAATCTCTGTATTACACCCCAAATCCAAGTGCAGTTAGTCCTTGGGTATTTCATGGGTTATACCCAGCCCACTAGATGGAGAGCTTGTAGATTGTGTCTTTTCATTGGCAGTTAATTGATTTACTTTCCTGATGGAATTCCATGTCTCTTTGTATTCCATGCTTCTGTATAAAGGCCCCTTCACTTGTATTTGCACATCACAAATTTCCTTATCAATATAAAGAGTTTCTAGCATTTTCTGACTTGTAAGTGTTGCATTGTTAACCTCTCTTATAATTTTGGGCTTACTTAGCATCTTTGACAACAAGATTGTTAGGGCCACATGGGTCTGAAATCGACTCCGTGACAGGTGGTATCAGAGTAAAGGATCAATCCTAGGTACTTCCCAAAGATTGAAACACAATGGAAGATGATCAAGTTGTTTTTCTGAGATTGATGATGATGGTCGCGGTCGAGAAGATGAGAAAAAGAAGACCAAGAGAACCAAATCATGAAGCAAGTCCAGACCTCCTCTGATTTCCCTTGCCGCTCCTGAAAGTTTTGGTGAAAGTGTTGACTCTCGTGTTGCTAGCGTGGAGTCTCTGTTATAGGGCATGAAAGTCCAAATGAGTGAAATGTCTGAGATGGTTGGAATGTTGACGGAGGAAAATGCCGAGATGCAGCGACCAGCAAAAACGATGATTGAGGATTTGATCACTGATTTCAAGAAAGAATTTAACACTATTTATGAAGAGCTCCTTTCCCACAAGAAAACTATCAAGGATGAAATACTTGGGATCCTAGAAGAGATAGAACTCCTGAAGCGGGAAGTCAAAAGGCATCCGTCTTTCTTTGGGAACCATGGAACACATGACCCGTCCAGCTCGAATATCAAAATCCCTAAACCAAATGTGTACAATGGTGCTTGCAATGCTTCCACGGTTGAAAACTTCCTCTTTGGAATGGAACAATAATTCAAAGCAAGAGGAGTGCATGATAATGCTAGCAGAATCGGAAATTCCCTTAAATTTGTACGAGAATAAAGTATGCATGATTGATACTTGGGAAAAATTCAAAGTTGAGCAAAGGAAACACTTTGTACCCCATGATGAAACTGAGAAATCCATGGGGGAACTAAGATGATCACGCCAAGGGGGTACGATTGCGGATTACATAAAGGAGTTCATGACCATAATGCTTGAAATCGATAACTAGTATGACAGGGATGTGCTGTTCTATTTCAAAGATGGGTTGCGTGATTGGGAAAAAGATGAGTTGAATAAAAAGAATGTTCAGACCTTGGATGATGCAATTTCGATAGCCGAGTCGCTTCTGGACTACCGACCTCCACAGAAGAACCCACCTGCTGCCAAAAGTGGTGGGGACAGAAAAGCCTCAAAGAAGTTTGAAGATCGGAGGATGGACATACCAAGATTTGAGAATCAGTTCAGGAAAGACACTATGAAGGCCCCAAACAAACCCAGCTTCATCTTTGATGGACCTCATTGGACTCGAGAATGCCCTAGTAGAAAAGCTATGAACACATTGGTGGCTGACATGGTGGGCAAACCTGATGAAGAGGTAGACGCTCAAGAAGAATTGGGGTCGGTAAGGCACCTCGGGGATTTGACAAAACTCCTTTCAAAATATGAGAATGAGGACAATTGATTTCTCTTTGTTGATGTGGTGATGAACGAAAAGAAGTTGGCAGCTCTTGTGGATACAGGGGCGTTCCACAACTTTCAAGATGAAAAGGAGGCAGAAAGGCTTGGTGTTCATTATTCACCGAGCCATGGTACGATTATGGCAGTCAACTCGTGAGCTAAGAAGATTTTAGGGACAACCACTGTTCAGGTTCGTATTGATGATTGGACAGATTATCTAACATTCACCATTGCACTGATGGATGATTTCAGGATAGTATTGGGTTAACTTTCTTTTGAAGAGCTCATGTATTCCCGATTCCTTCCATAAGCTCCTTTATTTTCCTTGGTGGTAACCGTATCCAAGTGACTCACTTGAGAGGTGCAAAGGAGGATTCAGCCCTGATTTCAGAATTACAATTCAGGAAAGGGGCTAAAGAAAGTAGGTGCTACATTGCAGCGATCTGAGAAGCATGTGTAGAAAATGAGAAATTTCCTGTGGAAGAGTTGCCTAATCTGATCCAAAAGAATTTGTAGGAGTATCAAGTCTTTATGTCATTATAACTTCCACAATAATTACCCCAAAGGCGAGAAGTGGAGCACCAGATCATGCTGGAACTAGGTGCAAAGCCCCCAACCATGAGTCCTTACCAGATGGCTCCCCCAAAGTTGGCAGAACTGCGAAAATAGCTTGGAAAACTTCTTGATGTCGGTTATTTTGAACCATCAAAAGCCTTTTTTGGTGCTCTGGTGCTATTCCAGAAAAAGAAAGATGGGTCCTTAGGAATATGCGTAGATTATCAAACCCTCAACAAAGTCACAGTGAAAAATTGGTATCCTATTCCATTAATAGCAAATCTCTTTGACCAAATGGGCACTATCAAGTTCTTCTCAAAGTAAGGTCTTAGATATGGATATTACCAAGTTCGTATTGCGGAAGGGGATGAGCCAAAGACTCCTTGCATCATATGATATGGTTCATATGAGTTCCTTGTCATGCCTTTTGGGCTTATGAACGCCCCAACAACATTTTGAACCCTTATGAACAAACTCTTGTTAAGATTTATGGAGTCATGAATAAATTGACAAGTTCCTAAGAGTTCAAGGGCCATAAATGTAACTTGACAAATTAAACAATTGAATTGTTTAATATTTGTTTTTTGGACGGTGGACGGCAAAAGTATTAATTGTTTAATGGAATCCATGTGCAATTTTGTTTCGGCCGTAACATGTGAATGGAAGAAAATTCAAATGGTGGTTGGTCAAACAAAACGGCTCCTCTCTCAGTATATATATGTGCGATGTAACTCTTTGTATTTGTGCCGAGTGATATTACCATTTGTAATCTTATAGTGAGTTAATATAAAATCTAGTTGCGCCCGTGGACGTAGGATTTACACCGAATCCGAACCACGTAAAATCCTTGTGTTCCTTCTTCTTTATTTCCTTCGTGTGTTTGTGTGTGTGATAGTGTTTCCGCTGCATGTACCCGGTCCGAGTCCTAACAACTGGTATCAGAGCTAGATTAGCGAGGTTTGGAGGGTACGATCGTTTTTTTTTTATCACGCACGAGTGTACCTGATTTGTATCTTGTTTGTCATAATGGCTGAAGACAAAGTGGTAATCGAAAAGTTCAACGGTTCTGATTTTAGCTGGTGGAAAATGCAATTAGAAGCATTACTATGTCAGAAAGACTTGGACGTGGTACTCGGAGACAACCCGGAGAAAATGGAAAAAGCTGCTGAAGATGCGTGGAACTCAAAGGACAAGAAAGCCAAGGCGGTTATTACATTGTCATTGACGAAGAGCGTTGCTTTCAACATCATGAATGAAACCACGGCGCATGGTATGATGGAGGCTTTGTCAAATATGTATGAGAAACCATCGGCGGCTAACAAGGTGTTCTTGATGAAGGAGCTGTTCACTACAAGGATGAATGAGGAAGGCTCAGTTACGGTTCACATTAACAATCTAAATTCAATTATGTCCAGATTATCATCTGTGGGAATTAAATTTGATAATGAGACTCAAGCTTCGCTGCTACTAGCTTCTCTACCTGATAGCTGGTCCGGAACAGTTACTGCTGTTACGAGTTCCGTGGGGACCAGTGGTATGACTTTTGAAGGGGTTAGAGATTTGGTTCTAGGCGAGGATATCAGACGCAAGAATCAAGGTGGATCTTCCTCTTCTGATTTATTAAATGTCGGAAGAGGTAGAGGGAATAGCAGGAATAGTGGAAGCAGTGGGAGTCGGGGAAAAAGTTCTTCTAGATCTTTAAAGAATGTGAAATGCTGGAATTGTCAAGAAGTGGGACATGTTAAGAGTCAATGTCCAAAGAAAGAATTGAACATTGCTGGTGCTGAGAGTGTGTCTGAGGATGATGCATTGATACTCAGTATGGAAAGTTCTGTAGACTCTTGGGTCATGGATTCAGGGGCTTCGTTTCACGCCATGGACAACGGGGAAACGATGGTGAATCTAAAAGAAGGAGATTTTGGAAAGGTACGTTTGGCAAATGACGAGATGCTTCAGGTAACGGGCATGGGAGATATTGATTTGGTTACTTCATTAGGAACTACATGGAGCCTGAAGGATGTCAGGGTGATTCCGGAGCTGAAGAAGAAATTGATTTCTGTTGGTCAGCTGGATAAACAAGGACTGGAAGTAAGGTTTGGTGGTGGTAAATGGATGGTGGTCAATGGTAATTCGGTGATTGCTCAAGGTTTGAAGCGTGGGTCATTATATATGGTTGAGGTACCTGCTGAGGGAAGTATGACCGTCCCTGTTAAGCAAGACAAAATCTGGTTCGCTAAATCTACGGCTAAGAGAGTTCATTTTGCAAACATGAATTCTGGAGCCAAGGGGATGTTAGCTGAACGAGTCGGAAAGTCTAAACCAGTCAGGAGATTCTGTGACAGTGGGAGCACGGGGCGTGTTCCGGGTACAGTTACAAAGAGCCGTTGGGTTTTGAAGACTAAGACTGAAAATTTCTCTCATGTTGGATGTTTGCTATGTTTGGAGAGTGTTAGTGGTCCTCGGTGTATCTCTGGATCCGGTGGAGTGTCCAAACCAGTTGAGACAGAGGATGAGTCGGTGGTGGGATTAGCCACGGCTGAGTTGGAGCTAGTGGGAGCTTCAACTGGCCCTTCTAGTAATTGATGATGAGGGGCGGCTGCAATTAGAGAAATCAGACTAAGTTTTAGCTTGTTCTTTGGAACTGGAAGCTTGAAGGACTTGGTTGTTTTTTAAGATTACTAGAATAATTGAGAGTTGAATGGCGGAGAAAAGCTAAAGTTGTTCAAGCCTCCAAGTGGGAGATTGTTAAGATTTATGGAGTCATGAACAAATTGACAAGTTCCTAAGAGTTCAAGGGCCATAAATGTAACTTGACAAATTAAACAATTGAATTGTTTAATATTTGTTTTTTGGACGGTGAGTGGACGGCAAAAGTATTAATTGTTTAATGGAATCCATGTGCAATTTTGTTTCGGCCGTAACATGTGAATGGAAGAAAATTCAAATGGTGGCTGGTCAAACAAAACGGCTCCTCTCTCAGTATATATATGTGCGATGTAACTCTTTGTATTTGTGCCGAGTGATATTACCATTTGTAATCTTATAGTGAGTTAATATAAAATCTAGTTGCGCCCGTGGACGTAGGATTTACACCGAATCCGAACCACGTAAAATCCTTGTGTTCCTTCTTGCTTTATTTCCTTCGTGTGTTTGTGTGTGTGATAGTGTTTCCGTTGCATGTACCCGGTCTGAGTCCTAACAACTCTTTCATCCGTTCCTGGATCGGTTTGTGGTGGTCTACCTGGATGATATAGTGGTGTATAGTAAGACTCTTAAAGAACATCATCAACACCTTAGACAAGTCCTCCATTTGTTGAGGGAAAATAACTTGTATGTGAAGCTGGAAAAATGTTCTTTTGCACAACAGGGGGTAGAGTTCCTTGGGTATTGTATCTGAGAGTGGAAGCTGATGATGGATCTGACGAAGGTAAAATCAATCCAGGAATGGAAGGCCCAAACGAAGGTTCCAGAATTACGCACCTTCCTTGGCTTGGGGAACTATTATTGAAAATTCATCCAAGGATATTGGGCCATAGCAACTCCTTTGACAGAACTGTTGAAGAAAAACAAAGCATAGGACTAGACTAAAGACTGAGAAAATGCTTTTAGATTGTTGATAGAAGTTGTGATTCACGAGCTGGTTATGAAATTACTAGACTATAATGCCCCTTTTGAAGTTCACACTGACGCTTATAATTTTGTTGTAGGTGGTGCAATGATGTAGGAAGGTCATCCCATTTCCTATGAAAGTCGCAAACTCAACGAGACAGAAAGATGGTATACGGTACAGGAAAAGGAAATGAAAGTTGTGGTACACTGTTTGTGCACTTAGCGACATTATCTGTTGGGAAGTCGGTTCATCATAAAGACCGACAACATTGCCATAAGCTATTTCCAAACGCATAAACGTTTTAGCTCGAAGCAAGCACGGTGGCAAGATTGTTTGGCAAAGTTTGACTACGAGATGGCGTAAAAACCCAGACGAGCAAACATTATTGCCAATGCCCTTAGTCGGAAAACATAATTGGTTGGGATCTCTTCCGCCCAGTCTCCAACAAGTAACCATGTACAGCTGAAGGAAGGAATCCATGACCTAGTGGTGTGTAATCTAATGAAGCTAGCAGATTATGGGAAGACATGATAATTTTGGGTCGAGAAGGAACTACTGTACATTGTGTGTAATCGATTTTATGTTCCGACATGGAAGAATTTGCACAAGGAGATAATTAAAGTATGTCACGACTCGTTATGGGCGGGTCACCCAAGGATGCATCGAAACATCGCGCTTATATAACAATACCACTATTGGCCATGCATGCAAGATGACATCAAATCATATGTAGAAAATGTCTTGTACTCTTGTCTTCCAACAAGATAAATGGGAGCAAAAATGCCTAGCAGGCCTCCTGGAGCCACTCCCGATTATTGAAAGACCCTGGGATAGTGTTT